TCACGTGACAAAGTCACAGATCTTTTACAAATTTGGATTTATTTTTATATATTGGATTCTTTATAAAGCAAGATCAGTATAAAAATTTTCGGCAAGTGGCGCAGCACGTGATGTCTTTAGATGATTCGCACCATAGAAATAAAATTTAAATTGTCCCGGAATTAAGAGATTCGACCAAAAGATCTGCGTCAAAACCTAATTCCGGTAACAGTAGTTTTGGTTTAATAAAAAGATCTCTACAGAAAAACAAGAGTAGATTGTCTGGATCATGTGGTCAATGTAGTAAAAAGATCTAGTCCAGCAGGATTAAATAAAGCTCAATGCTATGAAGGTGGAAGAGGTTTTCAATACTTAGATATTAAGGCTATTTTAGGAATTATTTTAAAAAATTACCAAGTATACAGAAATATCAACATTTTCTTTTTGAAACATCTAATTTTGGTGTTGTTAAAACTCAGGAGGTTGCTAATGATCCTTTTGCTGAATTCAGTTTATTGAAAACCAAGAAAGCAAATATTTTTGAAGAAATTAGAGCTTTATTTATTTTAGTGTTAACACCACTTCCTTTGGATTACAAAAGACAAGAATATCTTTACCAGAATATTCACCCATTTGTGAAAGATGAATACAAAGATATTACTTGTCCAAAGCCATTCTATATTGGCAACAAATAAAATATTTAGAATAAAATAACTTTCATTACTTTATCTCATTTGTTAATTTGTCCCCTCACTGTCATTAAGTTTAATAAGTTTAATCCCTTGACAAATATTGTTGGCTTTTCCCACTTTAAAGTAAAAAAGTACTAAAATAATTCATATATTTAATATATCATCATAAAATGGATATAAGTATATTAAAAGAGCAAATAAAAAAAATTAAAAAAAATATGGTTAACACAATAAATGAACTCCAGGAGAGAAATAAACAACTATTAGAAGAAGTAGAAAAATTAAAAGCACCCTTACAATTTAAACAGTTGAATGATGAAGAAATTAGACAATGAATAGCCACTGTTTTAAGTGAAAGCCATTACACTAACAATCCTGATATAGATGTGGTTGGTGAAATTATGAAAGTTTATTGCAACCAAGAAAAGTGGTCTAATTTTTGTAAATTATATCGTACTGAACCAGCTCACAGGAATTTAATTCTCAATACTTATCAATATTATCCTTATTATAAGCAATCAGGGATTAATTGACAAGTAAGAAATAAGGCTAAAAGTGATATCTTTATCAACCTCATCAATTTAAACTCAGAAGAAAGCAAAGAATTATTTCAAAAGTGATTAAAAGAAGGTAGATAGAAGATAATTTGACTCTAAAAGGAATCTTAGAAAATGGGTATGAAGGATGAAATTCAATCAAACAAAGTTGTCGTGATTATTATGACCTTAAAAATCTTTCTCTTGATGAATTAATTAGTAGTTGAATGAGTTAACTTTTAAAAGTAAGGAAAATTGACTAAACAAAATTAAGAATACAAGGAGAAAATTAAGGCATTAGAGACAGAGCAAGAAAATTTGGAAGCAGGAGTAGAAGAATTAGAGTAAAAATAGAACAAGAACGAGTTAAGGAAGTCATAGCAGTTGGTGAAAAATGAAGCAAAAA